GCCAGCACGAGAAGCTGGACTGTCCTTGACTACTTAGCAACAACCCAAAACATGAGCACGTTATCAACAGTTTCTCATCCCAAATCCAAAACATAGTCTCACACTAGCTTCTGTGAAGAAAACCAGCTCTATCCTGGCTGAAACCAGGACAACTGGCTAAGGGCTCCAGCACAGTTCTGCCACGCGAGCTCCTCAGCAGGCAGGGGTGTGAGCAGGATAAGCTGTCCTATCCCATGAGAAAGATCTTTTGCCTTCTAATTAGGCATCGCTTAATTTTGTTTCTTCCAGGTTGCACCTTGGTTGAAAAGCATTCTTTTGGACTCACCCATTCACCTTTCCTGGAGGCTACGCTCAGTTAGTCTGAAGCCCCACTGTAGTGTACACGACAGAACTATCTAGTCTGAAAGACTTTATAGGAGAAGGGAGGAAGGTGATGTTCTGTGACTGACTCAGTGTGGGCCACGGGCAAGACACTTCATTTTCCTTTGGGAAATGGAAATAAATCCTATTCTGACTCCCACTCGGATGCAAGTGGAACACAGCCTTCCAGTCTGATTTCATAGACATTTGCCACACTGTGCAAATAGCAAGCAAGTGAACAAAAAGGCCCACAACCATAGCAACCACTTACTTTCTTCAGCTGCATCCCCAGCGTCAACGTTCTGTGTCGGGAGCTGCAAGGACTTTCCCTTTTCTCTCTCTTTCTCCCTCTCTCTACGCAAAAGCTCCATCTGTTCCATTCGCTTCTGCTGTATTTTCTTCTGAGCTGACTTGGACAAGACGACGTGGATCTAGTTGCAATGGAAACACATCATAGAGCATAAAGAGATACACAAACGGTACACAATGCCTCATCAGGAACACAGTGGTAGGGTGTCAAGAGTCTTTAATGCAGCTCTATCTACATCCCAATACTTGCAGAAAAATTCCTTCTTGCCTCCCCTTGGCATACAGTTATACCCAGCGATGTGTAACACTTCACTGCCATAGCCTCCTGGACTCGTGGAGGGTTGTTTCTCAATGCAGGTCAGGAAGCCCTGCTTGAACCAACAGAGTCACAGGACTGCTCCAAGGCGTATGAAGAGCTCACATCACCAGGGAACAGGCAGTTCAGTTCCAACAGGCCTGAGGTGGGGGAATTAAAACCATCTGCAATAACCAGCAAGGACAGTTAATTTGCTGTTTCTTAACACTCATGGCCAGTAATTGCAGCTGCTTCTCACTTCCTTGCTGCTGAAGGACTCAGCTGCTCTCTGGGAACACATGAGTCCAAGAAAGGAGTCATGTGAAAACAAGTTGGAGAAACATTGGTCTTAATGAATAGGACAATTGAAAATGAGAGAGCTGTGACAAACAGCAGGAAAGATAACCAAGGAAAAGCAAGCTCTCCCATTTTATTTTGCAGCCTTGCTTACACTCAGCATGATAATCATTGCTTCTGTGCTTCCAAACATGCACTTTGCACATGTTCACTGATGCGTAACTTGCTCTGCCATTCAGATCTGCTCTAAATTGGCCTTCGTACAGAAAGAATGCTTCTTGCGTAACCTGAGCACCACCTCCCAACCAGTGACTTCTGCAGCAGTGAAAATACTCACACAATTGCTCCGTAGCTGTCAAGTGCATTCCCAAGAGAATCTGCTCCCCAAGAGAGGAAGGTTATGACTTTCAGTGACATTTTGTGCTAAGCACTGAACAGTCACTGAAAAAGAAGCATGCTCCCCCCTGTCCCTAGCCCTTACCTTCCCATTGCTGTCCTTCAAGTCATTGTCACTCAGAAGGTGAGGGCTTATGATATTATCCATCTCCTTGGCCTGGCTGAGTGGGAGGCCTGTTAACGGGTGCACAGGTGCACGTAAGTGTCCGGCAGACTTCACGCCACCAACAGCACGATGCCGGAGAACAGGCAAGATGGGTTCTGGAGTGTGGAGCTCTGATAAAACATGGATTGTAGGTCGTGTATGAGAACAGCAAGGTACACATAACCTCTCCAAACAGACGGGGTACTACCATATTGCCCTGGCAGCAGCAATGGCATTACTCTGTTGGCCATCAGACTCAAACCTACTGATGCCTGATAAAGGTGTCAGCCCTTGGCTTCTGGTGAGCAGCTGTGCTTGACAGAGAAGAGCAGAAGATGGAGGTTGCCCTTGCCAAAAAGATGGATGGAGGTTGCCCTTGCCAAAAAGATGCTCTTCCTATCCATGTTGATTTTAGGAAACATCCTCTTTTTCCCAGTTACTACTAAAATAACTTGTTTTTAATAGCTGTATGCATTTGTAGAAGTAAGAACCTACATTTCCTCGTCTTGGCTGGAATATTTTAGAGGGCATTTAAAGAAAAGCTTAGGATTGCTAGAGAGTTACCAAAACCAGAATTGTGTTCTTGAAGCTAGAGAATTCATTTTCCCCAAGGAGTTTCATCCTACATTGTAGGAGATCAGCCCACTCTCTGGGCAGCCTGACTAAAGGATGATTTTCTTAATGGGAATAGCACGGTGCAGCTCATTCTGAAATACTCTCCAACAGAGCTGTTACAGCTCTGAGAACTAATGATTCCTTACGTGGCTTCACAGGTGATAAAATTATGTGAGAGCCAAGCAGTAAAAAAAGAATAGCTATCTTAAATCAGGATTTTTTCCCTGCAGAATGGTCAGGTCAATAATAAAAGAGAGACATGCTTTAGCAATGTCACTCATTTCTAGTCCAGAATGTATCCAGCAAAATGTCACCTTACTTACTCAGCAATACTTCTCCCTAGTTGCATTCAGCATCCTAGCTGCGTCTCAGCAATAAAGGAATAGTTCCTACGGGGGCGTGCCCATTATTTGGCAGAACTAACACGGAGCTGAGGGAGCAGTGGATCTTAATTATGCCAAGGCAGAAAAAAGGGTATTTATTAAATTTTTATCCCTCTCATCGCTACAAACCCCCAGATGGCAAAGGGACAGCAACAGGGTCATTGAGGTTTTCAACTTAAAAGTACTGGCTGACACAGACGCACCAGACACCACCTTTTGTCTTGCAGAACTCTTCCTGCTAGTGCTAATGCAAGGCGGGGAGGGGAGAGAAGCCAGTAGGCATCCCCTACCCCAGCCTCAGTTTGCAATACTGACATATGCAGATAGAGTACGGGAAGAGATTTGCAATCCTAAACACAGCGTCAGTGGTTTGAGGTAAACGAGTTGCACAAAGGAAACCTCAGTTCATTACTCAGCATTTGGCTTGTGCTTTAAGAGGACAGAAAGCTCAAATCCTGCATAGGCTGGATCCTCTTTGAAGTCTCTTTCTCTGGAAATGGAAAATTCACAAGGAACTTCCTGTCACACGAGGTTTCACTACTTCTCCAGTGCAAAAACAGGCCATGCTGATGAATCTCTTTCAGAGCTCGAATGGTTCGGTTCAGAAACTGCTCCAAGGGAAGGTTTTCTCCTTCAAGTGTAGGAGGAAGGAGGGGGAACATTTCTTGTTTCATGTGAAATGCCTCATTTTTCTCTGATCTTTGTGACATTAGAGAGTGTGCAGGGAGATAAAAAGTAGGAGCATGAGGCGGAGGAACGTTTTCTTTTCCTGCTGTGCATTTCTGGGGCCCCAAGGTCTCCCTCCAGCTCCTGCCATTCATAGCCCCATCCATGCTGGAGTCATTTTCACCGGATCCCCAGAGCACATTTCCCAGTGAGTGGGCTTTGCGGCAGCCATCTGAGCACATCAAGGAACTGAAAAATGTTACAGGACAGTTTTCAACCGAACTTTCACAGTGCCACCCATGGGCCTGGATTCTTATGGTCATTTTAGGGCAGCCATGCCCAGTAGTTACCTGGATATTTAAGGGTCTTCTCTTCACTGCTGCTGCCTGAGCTTGGCCTAAGAAAATTGGGGATAAAAGAATAAATGAGAAGACAGAAAGAGAAGGGGTGTAGCATTCAAGGAGGCAAACTTTCACAGCATGGTCATTCTGATGAAGGAGGAAATGCAGCCCATGAAACTAGCAATATGCAAAGTTGATTAATTACCGTTAACATTTCAGTTGCTGGAGTCACACAGAGCTCATAAAGCTCAATCTGAAACACGGGAGTCATTCTTCAATTTGGGCCTTAAATATCCAATTCTGCTGTTTCTTATTTTGGAGCTAAGTGGCTCTCACCGCTACATACATCCTTTGTGCATCAGCAAGAGTTGTTAAGCCAGTCATAAGCCTGTATTGAGGGCAGCGACCTTTATACTGCTGCAGAAGCCTAACTTTGCCTGGCCATGCCTTCAACTGGTGACAGTATCTTGTTACATAGAGTAATACCACAGCTGTCTCCTGAGAATAATATTACACCTCCCTGCTCTTCCACGAAGAAAAAGGGGGTTTCCAACTCAACTGGTAGATGATTCTCTTCAGATTGCAGATCCAAAGCAATGCTGAGGCTTTTAAATTGGAACTATATTCCTATGGCTCCTTATTAATTGTTATAACTAGGCTAAGGTTGACAGCTAGATTTCCCCGCAAATAGCCAAGCAAATATCTTTCCATCATTTACAGCTCTATAACTGTTCTCTAGCACCTTTCCCCCTTTGATCTTCAAAGCATATGTAAATACTAAACATCTATAAACTGAGATTTATCTGGGCTCTCATTTCACAGTGAAGGCCCAGACACAGAGATGTTATGCCTGACACTTAACAGAAACAGCATGTGAACTTGCAGACAGCTAGACAATAGCCAATATTTGCCCTAACATACTCTTGCAGGCACAGAAATTGGCACTCAAAGATCACACACAAAACCAGATGCTGTATTCAGATCCAGGCAATACAGTTCCCAAATGGTACCACAGAGATTACAGAATGAATTAGTATCAGAGTCCAGCAGAGGCCCTGCTTTTAAGGTCCTGCCTCCTTCTCCTCCGTCTCCCTCTCACCACCCATGCTCTTAGAGTGTATGATGTTGGTTTTGACATTGTCAAATGGGTCATCATAGATACGCAAAATGGTGAATGCACAGAAGTTTGCATCAATGTATTGGTAAGTTTGCATCGATATGTTGCATAAATATACTGTGGAAAACAATCCCGAGACAAGAAGTGCGAGGTGAACAGCATACTAGAGCAGCAGATACCTTGGCTTACCTCATCTCCAGGGCCTCTTGGAAAACCACATGCTGAGAGCTTGGGAGAGGCACTGCAGCGCTCTCAGGAGCCCCATCAGATGGTCTTGCTGACTTGGGGATAGGAGGAATCACAGCCGTTCTCAGTGACTTCTTCCCATCCACACCACTGCCATACAAGGGCAGTGGGGAAGCCTGGAAATAGTAGAACGCAGTGCTCAGCTCAAGGATCCAGCCCTCCCCCTTTGATGCCACAAGAAGTTTAGCCATGCTCTTAGCTAGGACTTGGCAGGAAAAGAAAACCCAAACTGATGGAGCAGCTTGGCCTAGGATGGGCAATGGAAAGGGAAGTGGTGAGGGAGAGACCGTGTCCCACGCTGCTGCCAGCGCTCTCCCCTCGCTCACCTCTCTGGCAGTGGGTGCATTCCCACCTGGCATCAGGATGTTCTGGGGTGCCGCTGCCTCTGTTAGCCTTTCCGATGGTACAGGAGTGGGTTTAGATCAGTGTCCTCCCACTGTCCCTTAAAGCGCCTACCAGCCCTTTCTGAACTCCAGCCAAATCCCCACAAAGTCATCTTGCACGCTGTCAAAACCTGACCATCATTTTTTGTGCTTCTGTCCTTCCCACAGTCCCCCAACAGCCTTTCGGCCCAGATGCTAATGTGCTCTCTGGATGCTCACTGCTCTCCAGCTCCCACACAACTCATCACCTCA